ATTTATACACCTGGGTGGAGAGAGACAAACGTAGATAAAGTGTCTTGCCTAAGGACACAAGCAACTTGTACAGCGAGAGTTTCGAACCCCTGACCGCAAGGTTGAGAGTCTGAGACACAACCATTATTATTATCATCACATCTAGCTAGGCTTTCCATCAGCCTTTTTCATCATTTGACTATATCTATACCAGAATAAATACTCTAAATAAAACCATCCATTACATTTTAAAATGGCTCCTGATACTGCATCTATTCATTGACCGCATTTCTACTAAGCGCTAAAAATATACTGACATGATTGCTATCAAATATGCCATCATTACACACAGAAAATGATTTAAACAAGGCTAAAGAGTTTGAATTGACATTTTTACAATCAGAACCTCTAACCTTGTGAAGGTTTTGTACATTTCGATTCAAAACAATCCTGTTCCTGATGATGTACTACAGTATATTATTCTTTTAGTTTAATCTCTGTTTTCTTAACAGTAACTGCAGACATGTGAATTTTAATGAGTTCATTTATTATGAAAATTAATAAACAAAAGACCAGGTTTAGCTTATTATATAAAGTTTGCTTAAGATATGACACACAAAGATTATTATTACTGTGTATTATTATAAAAAGGATTTAAAGCTATAATTCTAACATAAACATCCTGATAACTCTCTTTAGAATTTTGTTAAGACACAGATTGCATCTTCTATCCAGCTATCCAGGCCTTATCATCAACACATTTGAATGACAAAGTTTATAATTCTGTCAATCCACATACTGTAGCATGCTAGAGTAACTGTCAAATTATTAATAATTGAAAACTAAACAATGGTGACAAGTTTTTGTGCCAATAGGCTGAACTGGGGCAATGGGTCAGTTAATAATTTGAACAGGCAAATTATTTTGTGCTTAAAGATACTGACATGATTGCTATCAAATATGCCATCATTACACACAGAAAATGGTTTAAACAAGGCTAAAGAGTTTGAATTGACATTTTTACAATCAGAACCTCTAACCTTGTAAAGGTTTTGTACATTTCGATTCAAAACAATCCTGTTCCTGATGATGTACTACAGTATATTATTCTTTTAGTTTAATCTCTGTTTTCTTAACAGTAACTGCAAACATGTGAATTTTAATGAGTTCATTTATTATGAAAATTAATAAACAAAAGACCAGCTTTAGCTTATTATATAAAGTTTGCTTAAGATATGACACACAAAGATTATTATTACTGTGTATTATTATAAAAAGGATTTAAAGCTATAATTCTAACATAAACATCCTGATAACTCTCTTTAGAATTTTGTTAAGCCATAGATTGCATCTTCTATCCAGCTATCCAGGCCTTATCAACAATAAATTTCCTTTAATATATTTTGACTGATTACTTTTATAATATTGTTTTGTACGTGATTAATGAGATACAGGTTTTTGAATATTTAAAAACTGGGGAAAATGGGCATAATCACTCTTTTAACCACCCTTTTTTCCACCTTTTCCCCCAGTTTTTAAATATATTTAAAAATCTGTATCTTATTAACCACTTCCAAGTTTTTCGTCAAATATGCTTTTTATGTCTAGGTCTATGCCCCGGAGCCTGGCTTTAAACCCTTATTTTGGAATACCACCAGAATTTTGCTTTGGAAATATGTATATTATACCGTTAAGCCTATGATCAGCCCTATTGTGTATGTAAGTGCCAAATTCCTCAATATTTACTGCAGAAAAAACAAAGCTTTATTTATTTACTAAGCTATTAACTACTATATATGTTTTTGTTAGCAGTGAAAGTGTGCCAATTTGGAATACAGACTCAGAATAATGGCGGGAAGTTGTGAGAGATACAGTACCAGTAGTTGGCTAGTGGTGATATGTGGTGAAATCCTTTCCTCTTTCAAAAGAGTATACAATAAAATCATTGTCATTTGGAAATCATCATTTTTTTCATTTTCCTAATTCAATTGTCACTCATACAGTACTTTTCAATAATCTTACCAGGGGTCCCAAGTCTCCTGGAACCCCCCCCCCCCCCCGAAGTCTCCCGGAAGCCGAAACTTTGGTTGCCCATTAGTTTTTGCAGTCTGACAGCGCCATTTCCAGCTTCTAAAGGCGACTATTCTAAAAAAAATGTCTATCACCTCAGCCTCAATCATGGTGGCGTGGCCCTTCGTTTGGTATCTACATTTTCCCTCATAGAATATATAGCGCCCCCAATGTTATTAAAACGAATCTCCTGGAAATGGTTTTTTCCAACTTGGGACCCCTGCTCTACTCTCAATAATCGAATTGAATAAGCTCCTCAATGTAGACTATAATAGTTCTGAGCTGCGAAGTAGCTAATTCACATTATAGAATCTTCAAAGATATTTTATTCTTTATTTTTTTCAAGTGATGTAATTTTACAGAGGGATATACAGTAAGCCATGGATGTCTCTACTTTTTGAAAAGTCCAATATTGATAACAACACAAGTGATTATTGAAATATGTCCAGAGGCAGAGTCATATTGACAATTTATAATGATTATTACCAAAATAAGTATAGAAAAAAATCTTGTAAAGAACACTGAAAAAATTTACAAATCATGAGTGGTTATGAACAAGACAGTTATCTGTTAGCCATTAAACATAATATGCACACAGTTACCAAAACAATGCTACTGCTCAGACAGATAAACAAACTCAAGGTCACAGGAATTATTTACATCTTCAGGGATTTGATTATATTTTGCAGGCCATTAGGATTCACACTACATTAATCCTGGACTGTCCATTACTTCCCAATTTTCAACAACATGTTCACACCAACATGTTTGACGCCATACTATACCTGGGGAAAAATAGATAGATGTGACCAAGGCAATATGCTTGATAAGTTCGCAAATCATCCTCATGTGTTATTAAGCAGCCCCTTACCCACCCTCTCCCCCTCTTCCCACCCTTATGCCAATCATACCCTACCTGTAGACATTTGCCTGGAGAAAAACTGGCACATGATCAAAAGTATTGTAAAGCAGGTACACTGTACTATTTAGTGGGCCTACTGTATACTGATGAATTACGGCAATAGGCCAAATAAAAAATATATATTTTTTTAAACATTTTATGAGTCATCTAGGGCATTTTTTCTCAAAGCAAAACACACGGTGCAGCAATCCAACATCCTCAAAATAATGATTATCAGCATTTTCATTAATGTATAGTATTCTTACTGTACCCCCTCTCCCTTTCTAAATGTGTATACTGGCAGCCTAAATTCTGATTTTGCAACACCACTCCTTTTTGATAGTGGGAATAATGATAATAATGGTAGACTTTAGTGCATATTGTTAAGCCCTCAATGTGCTTCACATTATCATTACCACAGTCATTAAACACCCATGGAAGACAAACTCAAGTTCTCTGGGGGAGTATTCCATAATGTTGCAGTAGCTACATCAGCGCATATTGGCATTTAACCTTACCAGGTACCCACTTATACTCCTGGGTGGGGAGAAGCAATACAGATAAAGTGCCTTGCCCAAGGACACAAGCGAAATGCACAGTGAGGGATTGAAACCCCCCCCCCACCTTGAGGTTGGCAAACCAAACCACCACGCACCAAACCAAACCACCACGCACCAAACCAAACCACCACGCGCCAAACCAAACCACCACGCACCAAACCACTGAGTATAGTACTCAGTTTTTACATGAAAAACATTTTTTTTTCTTCAAATAATAAGTAATTTGAATTAACATTTGTGAATGTGCTAAGGTATCTGATTCCTCCCCAAGAGTATTATTTTACACTTGTGAAAATGTTGATAACTGTGAATGACCCCTTGTTAAAAAATTCATAATAACATATTATAGGAAACGCATATTCCTGCAGATTGCTTGTGTCACTCCCAATTAGATGGGAATGAAAGTACACGGAAATTTACATAATTCTATAAAATTCTTGAATCATTCATGTGTAAACTAATAGGTCAAAATGCTGTTTATTGACTGCATACTATAACATAACTTTAAAGACTCTAAGGTAACTGTAACTTAAGTATCAGAAAGGGTGCTAATGGTGTTGGTATGAGAATGAAAGGTCTTATTTTATATAAGCAATTTATGTTTTAGTACAAAAATAACATTCCTAGGTGATGACCAACTAACTCATAAACTCAGTCTATATAAGCATAGATGACCTCATAATAAACTCCACATTTTGATAATGGGAAACCAAGTCATCTCTAACTTCTGACCCGAATCAAATTGGATCAAGAATTAAGAATATAAACACAACAAACATTCGTTTGACATAAATCTAATTCCACTGAACAATTTTGGGTTCTTAGCATTTCATGTTGTGACACTTGTATACCATAGGGTGAAAACAGATACAGGTCACATCAGTCATGTTTGACCTGATACAAATGTGACATAATTATAGAACGCATAAGTATAAAGCACCTCACGGCAATATACTGATAAAATAGGACTTTCTACTTCTACTGAAACTTGAAGACAAGAGATGTTTGTGAAGGAAGCTGACGAATGTAAGGTGCAGATGAAATAGAATGACGATACCTGTGGAGACTTTAAATTTAATGGAAATTTAATTTCGAAAACCTCTGTTGGCATTCTACCATACAGTAGAGTTGGATACCTTCATCACAGATGGATTACAAAGTCTTAAACACAGGGATACGGAAAAATACTATCACTATGTATGAATACTGTAGAATGTAAAAACATTACTACTAGCAACAATTTATGAAATTACTCCAATTATTTAATTGATAAAACAAGTTCAATGAACAAAGAAAAGATATATGGTAGGTACATAGCTATCTATATCATATTGTCATAATCATCATCACTTTCAGCCATGGTTGGTCCACTGCAGCTGGACAAAAGCCTTAGCCGTTTTCAAGTCTTGGTCGGTAAGAATTGGATGTATATGATACAACCCATAACCAACTGGCCCATAGGGTAAAATTGTTAGGGCTACTGTACTTACCTTTAATGGATTGTTCTACAGTATTTCCGTATGTGCTAATATGTTCACTAATACTGCACGTTGTCAATTTACGAATTAAACTTTGTTGGCTGTCACATTTGGCAAGGAACTTCCACTTCCGTCACTTTTAATCATTCATTCATCTCACCTGCTACACACACACACACCAATAAATATTCTGAACGTATTGTATTCGCCTTTCCCTCACGTCACCACTATGAATGGTTTAGAGATTGGCCGTTAGTTACATAAAGTACTATCTAAGCAGAGGAAATAGCTAGTCTAATGACATGGACTTCCTCTTCAGCAAGGTCAATCTGAATGAAATGCTACAGTCTGTACACAGGGCAGAGCTACAGTAGCTGTGCCACAATCTCACATAGCCCCAATGAAGTTTGGGTTAATTTCATTTAAGACTCTACCATTCTAAAAAGGGACGAATTGCTCATTTATGTATGTTCACATCCATAGAAATTGTTTGTTTTTAGATTTTTGTTAGAATAATACTAGCAATAAATAATTTAGGACCTGATTGCAAAAGCCTAATAAGTACTATATTATTATCTTTATTATGAATTTTGAAAAAAAAATCTTTCTTTTTAGTGATATGGTTAATAATTTTAAAAGAAAATGAAAATAAAATAAAAATGTCAATAAAGAAAAATAACTAAAACTATGACAGTAAACAATAAATAATAGCAATAAAAAGAAATAACAATACACATTAGCAGTAAGATGACAGACAATTTATATTTGAATATATTATAGAGAAAACAAAGCTGAATTACCATGAGTAGTGGAAATACCAGGCCCGTATCCAGGGGTGTGCGTTGGGTACGTACGAACCCCCCTAAATCGAAAAACGTCCACTTAAAAGCAGAATTGATTTTGAATTTTTATTCGTAATGGTTACGAATTTATACAGTAGTATTTTTCATTTGGGAAACAATTTGCTTGTTTCTCCATGTCCTCCACTGGTATTTTTTTGATTGGCCCTATCACTGTGTTCACGGACATATAGAGATTAACATGATAAAATGCCTTCAAATTAGTCTACTAGGACGTAAGAAAGCAAACTTCTCCAGGGCCTTGCACCTGGACCCCGACCAGGGGCCCTGGGCGGCCCCCTGGTCCCCAGCCTGGTTGCTCGCTGCGCTCGCAAAACGCACCACCCCCCCCCCATTCAAAGGGCATGAATACCCAAGAAGCACATTCAGGCAGAATTATCTAAAAAATCATTAACACTAAAAAAAAAATGCATTCTAGCAAATTCCCAGTGAGGGTATTTTTTTTTTAAATTTTGGGAGAGAGATTCCCCCATACCTTCCCATAGACACAAACTGGTAGTAGGTATCAACGCTTTCATGGTGGCTTTGACTGGAAGTGGTTCAGATATAATTTGACCATGACAAAACAATACACAATACAATGTAATAAGGAATTGTTGTTGCTTTAAATAGGGGCCTACTATTTACAGAGGCAAATAAAAGAATCATTGTGAAAAAAACAAGTTTTAAGAGGTACTATAAGAAATTGTTGATCTACAGAAAAGAATGATCAGAATATGACTTGTCATATGAATAGGCCTAGTACTAACCTGTGTTTGTACTGTACTTCCAGGGTAAATAACTGGGTCAATCTCGAGGCAATGCTGTAGACAGTATTTTCAAACCGTGCGGGGCAATATCTGGGTGAACCCATTTTACACGTAAATTCAAAAAACGTGGACCCATTTTATGCAAAAATATGAAAAATCTGGACCCATTTTTAAAAGTTTACCTATTTTAGGCTAAAATGAGGAATATGGACCCATTTTTCAAAAAAGTAGACTCATTTATGCATAAAACTGCATAGTTTGGACCCATTTTTAAAAAGTGTTGACCCATTCTTTATGGACCTGTTAGAAAAATTGTGTGGGACTGTCCCAATAGCTACAGAATTGTCTCTAAGATGGTGTTCTGATTGAATGGAAAGTATGAGTTTCTGTATAAACATGGTGGATCACGGACAAGCAGTACTGAGATTACTAACTAGATCCCTGGTATTCAACCTTTTTAAGCTGGGGGCCAGTCCCGACTTGTTGAGACCAGCGGTGGGTCGACATGGTACTTCCATTTCCTTTTATAGCGGTGAATTCAAAATAGAAGTTGGTCAGGGAACAACTTTCAGATAGGGGAAAATACTGCCTCAGCCCCATGGTGGGGCTGAGGCAAGAAAATTATTATTATGGCACCTCTAGATGGTCGGAAATGTCACTCTTGGACTAAATTTGAATTTAATTTTCATTTCTTCTCTTTTCTTTCTTTTAGAATTTTGAAAGAGAAAAAAAAAAAACTATACTCTAGGTTCTCCTACCCTGCCACTAGAAATGTTCCTACCAAAAAAAATATCCACTCACCAATGGTTAGGGTTGGGGTGAGCAAAGTAAGTTTTCAAAGCAGTGTTTTCAACAAAATAACATGTCCCGAGTCTACTAGTGCTGCAACTGGTCAGACATCACATCATATCAGTGTCTTACTTAATCCATTGTCCCTATTAGTCTTACCCTTTTCCATACCAGTACCCTACACCACTAGATACAATGAGCTTAGATTCAGAAAAAGCCACACTCTTGTAAACATTGCTAGAGTAGGGGTGCTGGAGTAAGGATGTGGTGTTGCTCTAAACAGAAAAACTTTTTCAAAAAATCGGCCAGAAAAAGATTTATTTTTAGCAATGTTTCGCGGACCAGGTCGAAATCTTTGGCGGGCTGGATTTGGTCTGCGGGCCGGGGGTTGAATATCAGGGAACTTGATGAATAAAGGTTTAGGTATTAATGGAAACATCAACACAACTAATCAATTATATTAATGCATTGATAAGCAGAATTTTAAATCTCGATATTTAGTAGAACAATCATAATGGATTGCTTAGCATCCATTACATCACTGAAGATATAAAAATATCATCACCTCAGAGATGTCTCTATATCAAATTCAATATCCATTGCCATTAAAAAAGAGGATAAATCATTGCTAAAATTGATAGCAGTATAAATATATCCCTTTTGATTGAATAGTGTAGTCTTTCAAAGTGATGTGGCTCACCTATCATGCTGACACAGTCCTCATTAATTATGGGTGATTCCACTTTAGTGAGGGATAGCTTATGGCATTACCAGTAATTTATTATGAGATTTCTTTTCCCTACATTTAATCTAATTATATCCTAGTTATATCTTTCAATTTATTTATTCATATTTTACTTATTCTGTATTTAATTTAAAAAGACAATTTTATACATAATCCAAGGGTTAGATATTTTCGATAAGCCAAATTGGTGACATATGTAGGTCAGAAAATATCAAGAGAACTCCATACATGTCATATCCACATACAGTATTAAGGATGAATTGTAAAAAAGGGAAATACAAAGAACAACATTAGTTCAAAAAGCATCTAAGCAACTCAAAAATATTTTAAAAATTAGACATTCTGGTAATAACCCTTAAGACTATCCCAGGATTCAAAGACAGTACAGTAGACTGACTCTCACAAAGATACAGTATCATTAGACTTGCCCCAAGTCTGTATTTTATTGACTTTTCCTAGTGTTTAGACAATTTCTGAGAGTGCTACCAGCAATCTGTTTTTGTTATGTTGTTGAATTTGGTTGCGAATTATCCCACAAAAAAAGTATAGTATTGAAAGCCAAGCAAATAAGTAATATGGAATACCATTGGTGCTAAAATTGATTGATTTTTAATAGTTTTCACTGATTAAAACAACAAAAAAGGACTGGAACCCATCTAAGACATCACGCAAATAATTATGTAACAACACTTTCAAAAAGTTTCATGCCTAATAAGATATACAAAAAATAACAAATATTAAGTACAAATAAAGACCTTCAATAAAAAAAATATACTACTATGCAAACCTCTAAATGTTCACTGCACATGTCTGAATAGCTTACAGTACTTAGAATCAAACAAGTTTATTTTAATAAACTTTATTAGATACCAGATGGAAGTATAAAATTATTATAGCAAATTTCCAGACCTTTTAATTTTATGTGGTAAAAACCTACAGCTATAATGTAGTGTTTTTGTGTCACAAAAAAAATTTGTTTTCTTTCTGACATTCTGATTTTTTTCACAGAAAGCTAGTAACTTATTAATAATTATTATTATTAATAAATACAGCAGAATAGCATCAATAAATATATTAACAAATATTATTAATAAATATAATTATTGAATTTTATTTCTCTTATCTTAAGATGTTATCAGCAAATTGTGTAACACAATTTAAATGTTTTTCCGACAACTACAGTATTAAGATATACCAAGTAAAGGGAAACACTAAAAACTACTGTATTGTAGGCTTGCATCTGCAGCTTCAATCAGAGACTTAATATACAGTAGACAATTTTATCGGGATTTTTTTGAAACAGTGCCGCCAACATCTTTCAACTCACTGGGAACTTCCAGCGGCCTAGCCTGAGTAGCTGGCTAGTTTCAAATGGAGCGGATAGCGCCACTATACCTTTGCTACAGCAGCAGTAGACAACAGATATGATCTTGCTAATTACTGTAATTATGTAAATATTGAAATAGCTTTTTAAGACTTGGACTTGTTTTTTCTGTTTGAAATATTTGTGCTCGTTAGTAATTTAGTTTTATCATTGATTTAATCCATGACGGTAACTACTGTACAGTACGTAGAGCGAAATGCTAGGCCTCTGAAAGTCCCGAAATGGTAGTTGCCAGGTTATCAGAAATTTTCATTTCAAATTCCGTGAAAATGGTCTTATTCCCTAAATACTTGCAAATACCCCTAAACATTTATTTCTAAAAAAACAAAAATAAATACTTAATGCCTGCTGTAATTTTACAGTTTTCTACATGCTTCACATAGATAACTAACTGTATACCCTGTAATGCATTCACTAATGGGCACAAACTTAATGAGGGATTTCTTTCTTTCTTTTCCTTTATTTATGATACGTAACCTTTTATTGCAGTATACTGTACAAATGTCATAGATGGTCACCAGGGTAACATTTGAGATTATTTTTATTATTAAACAGAAGAACGTGGTCGCCATTTCATTGAACAGAATTTATTTTTAGAATCAGCAATACTGACTTAGAGACAAAATGGGAGGTATCATGTTCCTAATCTTTCCTATTTTCCCACAAATCTAGCAATAGAAATTATGTAGATCTGTGATCATTGGGGACCATAAAAGTTTTCTAATTTAGTTTCTTTTAAGGGAATAAATCAGAAAATGCATGAAATTTACTTAAATA